TAACCACCTGGCCATACCGGGCCAGATCTTACGTTTGTAGTGTATTCAAGATGACTTTCTTTTGTCTTGTAGAAAATATATATTTTGTTTTACAATTCTTAATCCAAGACATATTGCCTAGTTCCAGAATTAAGTAGACTAAAAACTTATATTTCAAGTGGAAAAACTGTCATTTTTTAGCACATTTCAAATGTATTTTAATAGCTTCACAGGACTTGATTAAACAAGCCCAGGAAATATTTTAGTAATCTTTGATTCTAAATAAATCTGTTCCTCAGAATGTTTTGCATGCTCAATTATACATGTTTGGCTTTTATTCAGATTGTGAGTTTGTTTCTGGAACTTCTATATTTTGGGGATTTTGTAAGTGTTGTCAGGATAACTTGTTTATTTACAGAAAGTTCTGCGTGGTGGTTAGGGGCATGCTGAAATTTCAGAGTTGATAGTTTTAGTATTACATCATTCTTTTGAAATGGAGATCACTTCGAAACAATGATATTATTAGACCTCCATAGTATTCTACCTCATGTTTTTCATATTGTAAAAAATTAAGTATGACCTTTTCACCTAATGTATGTATGTGTTTGTATGCATGTGACATTTCCATGCCACAAATTACTTACATATTTTTGATAACTGGTTATCTACACATATTTAGGTTAATTGATGTCTAGCTTTAATTATCGCAAGTAACTACATGATGTTATCCTTTCCCAGAAAATCAGATTTCCTTACATAACGCCCCCAATAACATAGCGGTAAAGTCTGTGGACTTTTGCCGCTAGAAACCGGATTTTCAATATCCATGGTGGGCACAGCACAAATAGCCCACTGTGTAACTTTGTGCTTAACTACAAACAAAACCTTATATTATATTGTACTTGGTGTAATGCCTAATTACCAGAAATAGGTGCAATAATGAGTTTACCAGAAAAAAAAAAATCTGTTTGTTACTTGTTTTTGAAAAAATTATTTATTTTTTTTCGTGTTTAATTTTGTTTACTTCGAGTATACACCGATTCTTTCTAGACGTTTATGTTTGCTAAAATACGTGTAGTTGCTTCACAAACCATGGTTACTGCTAAGATCTTGGTGCAGTTTCTGGGCTTCTAATAAATTTACTGTAGTTACTTATCGTGTCACCGAGAAACATGCCAGTTATTTGTAGCATTTCAGTTTCATCGCACATACATAGTGTCATTATTTGTTTATTTGGAACTAGTTACTTTTAGACTGTTGTGAAATGGTTTAGTGACCATCTGATTGCATGAGGAAAGATGAACTTGCTTCGTGGGTGGGAGACTATTTTTATGATATTGTGTCATGCTTTTAGCTATTCTTATAAAACGTTGTATCCATGTTGTATCCATGTCATATGGACATTCTACTTCCAGGAATATTTACATCGTCAAAAGTTGGAACAACAACAAAAAATTGAACAAGAAAGAAAGGAAAAGGAAAGGCTTGATGGAATAAGGAAAAGGGAAAAACGTGAACAAAGTAAGATACTTAAACTTTCGTTTTATTTCGAAATACAGTTTTAAGGCATTATTTATTTCTTTTCCAATATATTTATGGCCATCTAGGACTATGCAATTTAGAAGTAGAGACAATAAGAAAAAGAATGCAATGTGTGAAAGTATGCTATGTAGTACTCAGAGATGTTAATTAAAAGCAGTGATGATAAAAAATACTCAAGTAGTTTAAAATCTTAAATCGTAAAGTTAGGGACATTTGGGAATATAACTGACACATTTTAACCTGTTTTTATAGGAGTCATACAGATTTGTATATTATCAAACATTGACTGGATTAATATTTGTAGCGGGGGTGCTGAAAATGATTTACCAAGATCGAAATCTCTGTATAAAAGAGGAACTACGCATGCGCAACACTCTCACATGTCAAGCCAGTGGTGTTTCCGCACCCATAGCAACCCTATTTTACACACCCTTGTTGCCAGATGTTTAGTTTTTTATCCTGTGAATGTTAATAGAAATTGTGTTTTTTATCATTCTACAGGAGAGTTCGTTGTATACTAATTTAAGTTTGTTTGTTTGTTTGTTTTTTTGCATGCAGGTGCTGTTGCCTCTAACGAGGTCAAGCAGCGGCTTTTGGAGTTTGTCCTAAGCAAAAAGCAACGTGAAGCTGTAATTAATAGCGTCAGTAACTCTCCTACCGGGAGTAATAAATGGTGAGTTTAATACAAATCAACTTATTCTATGATGAGATTTTTACTAGCGCGGAATAACGTTCCTTACTAACATAGGTATTTTTAATATTGGTTCTAACTTTCACAACGTTAACTGTATTGCCTACACATACAAAAATAAACTGAGTACGGGTTGCCCCTGTGATAGAATTATGGAGTTTGGAGACGACGAGTTCGAATATGTGTGATACCACAAAATATTCACCACAGTTTAAGATGGCAATATATTAGCGTGGACGGTGGGTGGTAGGGTGTTGCTGGCAAGGTTACTTTCCTTTTAGTCAGTAGTTCAGTACTAGTAGGGACAAATGGTTTTAGTAGGTTTGTCACAGATACAAGGCAAACAGTATATAAGCGGTAGAACGATAAACTTCTTTACCAAGCTTTGGCAGATATTTGTGAGAATGCTAAAACAAACTTCAAAAATTTTTTAACAAACCTTAGGTATAGGTAGGAACTAAGGTATTCAATAACTGACACTTTATTTTACAATGTGACCAATAAATTAATCAATTGTTGTTACAGTTTCTATTGTTGGGTATGACTCGGTAATAATAATAAGTTCAGTCCATGATAGCGGGCCCGGCATGGCCAGGTGGTTAGGGTACTCGACTCGCAATCTGCGGGTCGCGGGTTCGAAT